TGTAGATGAATGAATGAACAATGTGTACAAAAAAGGCTAATTATTTTTTTATATGTGAATATCAATAAAGTTGGACAGTTGTGAGTTGATTTATATTTTTGAACAAAAGTGAATTAAATTCAAAAATAGACATAAATTAGGGAACAAATGTTTTTTATGGATTAAACTCAGATCATCTAATGAAAAATCAAGTTAGAGCCAGTAGAGTGAAATCTTTTCTGACTTTCACCAGTCATATCAGTTTTGTTTTTGTTCAGGTTTGACCTTTTTTTTTGTGGTTTGTTTTGCAGTAGTTTGGTTTTAAGTTGCTTTATGAATAAATGATCATTAAATGGACTCGTCTGTGCTTTTAAATACTTAGTGAACAGAGCTGACTTCAAAAGGTCATCAGTTACAGATGTGCATCCAGTGATTTCTTTCTGAATTACATTGTCTTTTAGTGATATTTTTTACTAACAAGACAAACATACATAAACACCGACAAAAACAATAGTGTTTTGGCCGTTCGGCAGTGAATAATACACAGAAAATAATGACTTATGAGTTTGATGGTTGCTTAGATTGCCATTATTTGAAGGCCAAACCTATTTCAGAGATTCAACACTAGATGGAGGCAGCATCACTTCAAAGGGCTGTAAAGTCAGCAAACTGTTCTGCTTTCATTGAAAACACTCGGACACAAACTGAGCTTTATTTTTAAACACATAAACAATCATTTAAGTTGTTTTTATTTATTTGAATGTTAATTGAATTGTCTTTTCATTTTCATTAAATCTCAACTGTTTTCCCATCAAGTCGGCGCCACTAAAGCTAAGCTGAACTTTTTTCTTTCTTTGTTCCCTTCATTATTTGCACGAATCCAACCCAAACGTTGGTCCGACAGCAGCACTCACAGCCACTATTACATCACCTCGCACTCTCATGCACCAGCGCGCAGAGTGCTTTTCTATGAATAATACAAAGAGAGCTGGGAGACACGGACATGGACATCGGGCTTGGTTACTAAATGACAGATAGAAACTGAAGGATGGAGACAACTGAGAGATAAAGCTCCTGAGGGGAAATATCAGGTGAATTATTGCTGAACCTGAGCTAAGTGTGGGATTTTTAGGGGGGGTGGGGGATGACACTGAAGACTCGTAATTTGGTTTGGATTGAACTTTATTGTTTAAATCAGTTAAAATGCAGATATTACAGCAAGTCTCGAGATTCAGAAGGGTAACATGAAGAGTTATGCGACCAACGACTGCAAAGGAAGTCGAGGTTTTAAAGTGCTTTTCCCCATGAGAGAAGCAGCTTTAGTACAGAAGGAAAATAACATATTGCACCCAGAGATCAGCAGACACATCCTCTATCAAAGAGCGTGTGCACACGCTAACACACACAATACACACACACAAGGACAGGCAGACGGTCTCTCATGAAATTCAAATGCACGTAATGGGACAACCTCCATCAAAAACCTTCCAATAATGGTCTTTCTACAGTGGAAAATGCAAAATACAAACACAATTCAATACAAAACCATATGATCTGATAACTATTGTATTGCATTATATCGTAAAACTGCAGGAAATCAACTCAAAACGGGATCCAAATGYTTCTAGAGCTGTAATCTTCGAACCTTTTCCCTTCCTTTGTCCTCCCCTCTCTGCCAGTCCGTCTTTCCTGCCAGCACAGACACACAGTTAACTGAGCTTCCTATATAATTAGACAAACAAAAAAGAGAGGGATGAAACATCTAAAGGAGAGGAGACTCTAAATGATTACACATTCACTCTGCTTCCTTCCCCCTTGCTGCACACATAACCATCAATTAGAGGAGAGGAGAGGATGAGGACAAGCGAAGCAGCCAGAAGTCTATTTGTGCGCCTATCTCTCCCTCTTCCTCTTCAAAACTCCCAGCTCTGGAGAGGGCGAGGGGAGGGCGAGGGAACAGACGTGAAAAACAAGAAGTATATAAATAAAGAAATCAGAGTGCTTCACATCCGGTGGTCTGATTGGCTGAGATGCGAGTCAGGCAGATCTGGGCCACAGTTGCACTCATTGTTCAGTGAGCTTTTCTACAGAGTCCAACCCAGCGACAGCAATGAATGTTGATTGTGACCTTTGCTCTTTGGGTACAGTGGGGGAAACAAGTATGGCGCTTGTGTGCGGGTGCTTTCCTGTGTTTCGCATTTGCACGCGGCGCCCGCTCGCCCCTCCTGTCGGTCCAAGTCCTGACGTCGACCAGAGCGAGCCACGGGGCACAGTCAACGGTCGATGGTTTTTTGTGCAATTCATACCAAACTCACCGACAGCGTTGAATGTTCACCGAGGCAGGCGGGGGGAGGTGGGGGAGGGGTGAGCCGATCTGACAGGGACGACAGGGGCACAGAATCCGCTCAGGACCACAGAGGTCAGGTTGCACAACATAACCGGGAGCAACTTGATGACACAAGACAGCGGCAGAACGAGCGTCCTGTCCGCGGGGCAGTGACAACTCTGATTTATGTTACACACAAAAGTACAACTAGGTGTGTTTTAAGCTCGAACATGAGCTGTGAATATCTGCTTTGTGGCAGTGCCACCACCTCGGTGTTCACAGGAACTCAAATCTTCGGATGAAAATGTGACGCAGCAGCATCTGAAACACACAAGAACATTGTGTTGTTAGCACCGAGACTCCAAAGATGCTAATGTCTTCATTCAGCACGTTAAAACAGAATCACAAGAGTTTTATTGTCATTATTTCCAGACTACTTTCTGACTTTTCTTTTTGTACTGGCATTTAGCCGTAAAGACACACTTCATCTGGTTTCGGCTGCCTCTGTGAATATCTTTAAACTGAGAAGTGCAAAATGTGTTTTACTGCTTGGTTATGTTTGTCATGTGTAAGATCCCATTGATGTTTGTAGGTTTTTGTGAAGGCAGCTATCCAGTATGATCATTGGCAATCATGAAGTACACCTTATCGCATCACATCAGGTCGTATTGTGTTGTGTTGTATTGTGTTGTACAGTGGCACATTGCATTGTATCTTGTCATGTTGTATCATGTCATGTCAGAACATATTGTATCATATTATATCATTTCGTGTTGTGTCATATTGTATCATGTTGTGTAATATTGTATTGTGTTGTGTCATATCACATTTCATCGTGTTGTATTGTATTGTATCGTGTCATATTATATCATATTGCATCGTGTCATATCAAATTGTATTTTGTCGTGTCGAATTGTGTCAATTGTATCATATTTTGTTGTATTGCATTGTGTCATATTGTGTCGTCTTGTGTCAAATGGTATTTTATTGTGTTGTATTGTAATTTATTGTGTTGAAGTCTGGGGTAAAGCTTGCAACACAACTGCAAATCCAACCGTAAAAATTATCACTTGAAATGATTACAACCATCCATCAAATACATTATTTTGCAAACTGAAAAATTTGAAATTCTATGATTTGGTTGACAATAATATTTTACTGTTTATGTTTAAGTCTCACAAAACAAATTACCTTCCAACATTCAAGTAAATGTTGTTAAGAGAGACAGTTGTTATTATCTATAGAAGATGGAGATGTTTGTGAAGCCTTGGTTTCATACAAGTTTAAAAAAAAAGATGTACTTTAATCCAGGGAATAAGGTTGTGGAACGGGTCTGGAAGATGATGTYGAAACTGTCAGATCTATGTACATATTTAAGAGAAAGATAAAAGCTAGTTTTTTGAATGTATATGGAAAAGAATAATGTGAATCTATATGAATTTTGTTTGAGTTGATGTTTTTATTTAGTGTTATTT